GGTAGATATTCAAAGATACACCTTCCAATATTAATTATAATCAGAATTTATAAAAAAAAAAAAAATAACTCAGGGCATTTATGAACAAACTGAGGGATCTAATTAAGAAAATGACAGATCTCAAAGTCATTTTTGAGACTGTGCGGGATGAGGGTATTTAGTTCAAATATCCACCTCATTTCTGTACAGCCTAAAGTTTATGCAAATGAAGGAATTAGCTACTACGTCCTGATGAAGCCGCCTGTGAACGGCGAAACCGTAGACGTGACGTCATCTTGTACCATGGTGGGCGGAGCTGAATATAACCGGTAAGTAAGAACGGCGGCCAGACGGCTAAGACTGAAATTTCTGCACCTTGATGAATTGAATTGATGCATGGGAGTTTCCCAGTACACATAAGCGAGTTTGTGAGTAAACGGGACAAATATGATCTTGTAAGCAGCAATCTAGCAGCAATTTAGTTGCTTTTTACTTTTGCTTATTTTAACTTTTTTATTCTGTTTAAAGATTCTTTTAAAGCATTATACGAAAATAAATTGTTACTTTTATCATCAATATCAATATTGACTATAATGAATATGTTGAAGACTTTATCATTATAAGTGCAACAAAATAGCTTAACAGATCTGCACTATTATTATTTCTTCTGATTTTCTCTCTTTATGTATACCATACTGCTCTGGCTTTGAAAGTGCTAAAAACTGGTAACAAGTATATTTATCCTTTTTTTCTTTTTCTTATTCATTCAATTTTTTTGCATGTGGCATGGGGCTTATTATCTAAAACATCGCTCCACTTCTAGATTTGTTTTTTCCATTTGTATACTAAATGTGGTGAAGGGAACACTTTGAAGTGTTTGCAGCAAAATTAACAAAACGAATAATTCCCCAGATTGAGGGTTGAATAAACTAATTCATTTGAATGTTATTTAGCGCTCTGATATATTTTAATTTCTTAAAGAAATTGTATATTGTTGTCTGCATATTTGACCCAGGTGGTCAGTAAGTATACAGGAAATCTCTGATCTCTGGTACATGGCAAGGTTGTTCCCAGGTTCAACTCTAGGTCTACAGAGGTATTGTCAGATATATACAAAATTATAACCCCCTTATAATCCAACTTCTAAATGTTTGATAGAAGTAACAACATTAATTTGTGCCATTAGAACAGGGAATGCTGAACCTCTGCAAGTTTGAGAGTGTGTGCCACTTTAAACCTTGACCTATGCTTCTGGGTGGACTGGCAGCTTGGCTGGATCATTAGATACATTAAAAGGATAAGGGACAGAGAAGGCAAATTACTGTTCCTTAAAGGGACGCTCCAGGGCCAGGAAAATAAATTGTTTTCCTGGCACTGCAGGTCCCCTCTCCCTCCCATTACCCATCCCATGTTGCTGAAGGGGTGAAAACCCCTTCAGTGACTTAAGGAAAAGGGGGTGTACCAGCTTAATATTCAAATAGGATAGAGTGACAGGATAGTCCAAACAAATCTTAATGTATACTAAGCTGCTATAACACCTAAGTCTTATCTTGTACAGTAGTAACAAAAACAATGGGTAGGTGAAGTGCTATTTATAATTCAAGGGTAATAGTAATGGAAGTCCTTATCTACTTTTATGATTGTCTTTAGTATCACAATTATGGGCAATTTTATAATGTAATGAAACAGTGTTTTTTGAAACCTTTCAGAATATTACGGCTATGTTCTTCAATTCTAATATGTAAAGGTCTAGTGGTTTTGCTTATATAACATAGGCCGCAGGGACATATGATAAGATAGATAAGGTTTTTTTTAAAGACGTTTTCACTACATGCAGCTGAGGAAGCCTGTGAGGCGAAACGCGTCCATGGAGAGACTGTGAGACTTTGGACTATTAGATTTTATGCCTATTTAGTATGTTTTTTTTATATATATCTATATATATATTTTTATACCTTTACTGTTAAAAATCAAGTATATTATTTTTTATATATACATACTATTGGCATTCTCCCTGTTATTTTTAAAGAAGGTGTGTGGTCCTTAACCACATAAGCGATTGGATTAGAGCCGATTTGGATGGCTCTAAGCTTGTGAGTACCCCATCTCAGTTATGCTTTACACATAAGATCTACACTATTGCACCATCCTTATGGGAAACAAGAGAAAGGAGTATTCGCATTAAAGAAGGGTCAGGGTCGCCTTTACGGACCCCAAGAGCGCTGCTATTGAGCTATTATATTCTAGCTCCTAAAATTGTGAGTGGGAATTCTGTCTTTTCCTTTTTTATATACCAATGTTTTGATTACAGTCTGCACTATGTTTGGTTTGTTAAGTTTATGTTTTATAGGAACTAAACATTAACTACCCTGAATATATCCATAAAGAATACTCAAGGTATTTCTACGTGCATTCTTATTCTCCATTACTTCCCTTCAGTGACTTACCTGAGACCCCCACCGATGCCCCTCAGTGGTGGTTTCGGGTCCACCCACGCTCCTCCCCCGCCAACGTCATCCGGCGGGGGAGAACGATCATGCATTAGACCTTTCCACGCATTAGACCTTTCCACAGGAAAGCATATTGAGTGACGCTGGAGGTCCTCACATAGCGTGAGGACGTCCATCGACGCTCTAGCACAGAAAACCTGTGCTAGAAACCAGGAAGTGCCCTCTAGTGGTTGCCACTAGAGGAGGAGTTAACCCTGCAATGTAATTATTGCAGTTTATGAAAACTGCAATAATTACAGCTGCAGGGTTAAGGGTAGTTGGAGTTGGCACCCAGACCACTCCAATGGGCAGAAGTGGTCTGGGTGCTAAGAGTGTACCTTTAAGAGGTGACTGGTAATGTGATGGGATTCCAGCATGGTCAAAATTTAGTAGGCCGAAATCTCCACATGGCATACGCTAATTAGTATCTGATTACAAACAGTTGGATGAGTCAACAGTATGCTGAGCATGTGTGGAAGTGGATAGTACATTCCTTTGTCTGTAAATGCCATGTGGTCTGCCCAAATAAGGTGATCCTGAATATCCTGTGTGCTGATTGGTCTGAGTAATATAGGAGGTGTTATACTGTATGGGAGGGGATATGCTGCTAACAAAAGGCCTCTGCACCATGCTTTCTGCCTCTCTCAGATAATTTTGGAACAGGAGTTCATCTGAGACCCGATCGGTGTGTAAATAAAAGACCAGTTACTTCCTGAAGACTTGTGTCCATATCTCTATGTGTGGCTTCTGCGGTTTGTTCCTGTTATTCCTCCGGTAACAGTAACTTTAAACGAAAAGCAGATACCTCCAAAAAGATGGAAACTGACTGGTTAGCAAAAATATAAAAACAAACAGCAAAGACAGGGGCCAGCTGTAGTCAGTAAAACCATACAACAGAATATGTGTATACGTAAATGTAAAATGTTGCACTTGAGGACTTCAGGAGTTTGTGGCCCAGTGCAATGCTTAGCAGATAATACATATCAATACATGGGTCAAGGATTCAGTTTATAGATTTAATTTTCTTCATGTCAATTGTAGCAAACTAAAAACAATCATATATATGTATATATATATATATATATATATATATATTATTTTATTTTTTTACAAAGTGTACACATTTAATGAAATGTAATGTTTCTTTAAAATAATTAATATTGACCTTTTTTTCTTTTTAACTTCACTTTTTTATCTGACTGAGCAGCCATGTTGGGTCAGACCAATTACAGCTCAACCTAATATGCCTGCTGCGGGAGTAGTTTGACACAGAGCAATCACAGCAACAGGCAAGTTTGGTTGAGCAGCATCAGTAGAGTTTGAGCCAGCCAGATAAAAAAGGTAATTTTGTGTGGAAAAATAAATAAATCAACATACAACGTTTTAAAAATACCCCTATGTTTCATCAATGTAATGGGAAAAAAGGGAAACTTTGATGGCAGTTGTTCTTTAAAGGGAACCATAAGAGACCATATAATTGATGCAGCATGGCATAATGCTGTGCATGTGCACTGGCCTCCCAGTGCTTTCCTATGTGAGAGCGTTGGATTGGCTGATTGCAGCCAAAGAGGTGGGGCCAGCCACATAAACCAGTGCTGTGAGGGAAAAGGGGTTGTGACCAGGGCCGGATTAAGAGCACAGTGGGCCTGGTGCTGACAATTATGATGGGCCTAATTACGGAATCTTATCGACCTAAAACAATCATACCTCCCAAGCGTCATGTATCTGATGGAGATGGTGCTGAAGGGAAACTCATAGGATGCAGCTATAAGAAAACACATACTCTATGCTAATTTCTCTCTAATTTATGCTTTCATCCTTCAAGTAAATCCATAACCCCTAACAGCGGTGTACAGTGAAGCAGGAAGTCAATGGGCTGGGTAAAAGGGTGTGCCACTGGCGCGAATCACGTGACAAGACCTGCCAAAATGGGTGAACATGCCAAAAAGGGGGCATATTTGTCCAAAGAATTGGAAGGTCAGCCTGGCATGAATGCATGTCAGGCTGCCTGCCAATCCTGCAGGCTGTCCAACTAAGGGCATACTATGCAGGCAGCACCTTGAGCTTGACATAAATGCGTCTAATGATGCGCTCACTCCATTCTTTCTAAGGACTGTCCCCTAGCACTCGCTGGTCCACTTGTCTCCTTAACTTCTTACTAGCAAGCAGAAGTTCCTGGTATATAGTCTGAGACAGAGAAAATGTGTCTGCAGTGAGTGTAGAAGAAAGGGGACATGCCACAGTGTTAGAGAGACCAACGTCTGCATTACCTAAACTAACTTTAATGTCAACCAGTGCACACAAGTTTTGTTCCCATACATCCCTCTTAAGCTTCCAAACTTAAAGGGACACTATAGTCACCAGAACAACTACAGCTTATTGTATTTGTTC